ACAAGACGTTGAACACGTTCGTTGCTCACGCGGTGTTCCCACCAGATATACACGAAACTGCGAAGGCACCGATGGTCGAAGGTAACTAGCCTATTTATGTCCGCTGATCTAAGGGGCCAAATTTCTCAATCGTACAATAAGCTCGCACGTACCGCTGCATTGTATACTCTACCCTTTAGGGCGAGAGTGATATCGTCCCGTCACCATAAGTGACGAAAGCTAACAAAGGCACCTCGAGCTTTTTCTATACGGTTCGTGGGCTCATCTTCGATCCCAAGGGCACTGATCCAACTTCCAAGTAGTTGAATTTCTGAACGACTTCTAGCTGATCCGCACCCAGGGTCAGCGCAGGAGGCGGTAAAGGCCAATCTTGGAGGAAAGGTTTGCACTTTGATAGTGCAAAGCAAAGCCCGGAGCGGCTGACAACCAGTGCTAATCTATCCAGTGCAGCTTGGCACGTTTGTGAACTGCCACAGGTTAGGGTAATATTGTCTGCATACTCCAAGTCAAGAAGTCGTTCTCCTGGGAGTAGCTCCACACCTTGTAAGTCGTGTCCTGTAAATGCAATCTCCATGACTTCCTCAACAGCAAAGTTGAAGACCAAATGTGACAGCGGGCATCCTTGTCTCACACCGCTGGAGATATTGAAGGGCTGCGACAATTTGCCGTAAACCCTCACACCGCCCGTGCTACACGCGCGCAATGTTCGGATAACATTTACATATTTCTCGGGCACACCTTTCCTTAGTAGACAGTCTCAAAGGGCACGTGGATCAACCGAATCGAAGACACCTTTGATGTCGAGGAACACGACTACGGTGGGCCGCCAATATGTGTGACGGTGCTCCAAAAATTGACGCAAGGTGAAGATGTGGTCGATGCAGCCACGACCCCGATGAAACCCGGCTTTCTCCTCACGAATCTGGCTTTCACAATCGCCAGTCAGTCTGTGCTCGATTACGGAGGCAAGTAAATTGCAGGCGATGGGGATCAAACTGATTCCTTTTTGGTTGCCGTATTCCGAACGCGAGCCTTGTCTGAAGATCGGGACAATAACGCAGCGGCTCCAATCGGTTGGGACCGTTTCCTGCTCTCACAATTTCACTATTAGTGTAAATCCTCAACGAGAACAGGTTTCCTGAATTTGAAGAGGACTGGAGGAACATCATCTGGTCCCGCGGCTTATTCAACTTCAACACTCCGATCTCACGTTCGACTTCTGAGCGAGAGGATGGATCCAAAGGAACAGCCCAGGGAGCGGGGCGATCACTGGCCGGTGAGGAATCAAGCAATTCCGGCCGCTTAAATTGCTTTCCCACATGCTCAGCCCAACGCTCCAAACGTTTTGCTAAATTGTGCATGGGCTATCCACTCGCGTCACGTATTTTTTCTTTAACGCTAGGTCTCTTGCTGGCCGTTTCCCGTATCAGACGGAATAACTCGATGGTTACCGAGGGCAGCGACCACTTTCATCTCTGACGCACGAAGAGACCATGAGAATTCGCGGTCTGTCTTCAGGCTAGCAAGAGGTTTTGCCCGGAGCACTTTGCGAATTTCACTGTATTCGCTTCCATCCGGAATATGCCGGTGAGCATCGATAAGTTTTGGAGACCGCGAAGAGACCCAATGTCCATGTTGGCTATTAGGTTTACCACATGGGGATTTGCCTGCTGCCACCAAGGTCTGGTGAACATGTGACCAGTGACCTTCAATTGTCTTCAGTGAGCGCTTACTCAACTCGCATGTCAGCGTACTTTGATAGGCATTTAGAACCGCTGGCTTCGCCAGTGGATTGGTGTCAATGCGCTCACAGCGTTCTCGTGGGCGTTCGCCGAAACGCATTCGCATGTCATAACATACAAGCGCATGGTCGGTGTCCACATATGTGCTCCAAATCGAGCGACAGTTCTGGATGCAGCCTCTCCAGCGGTAACTGATTGCAATGCGATCGATTTGCGTCCAAGGCTGGTTCGAAGCTGGTGGTCTCCAAGTCATCCTTCGGCGGCTACTGTGTCGGAAATTAGTGCTCGCACGAAATAAGCGGACATCTTCACACAAATGAAGTAACCGCTCACCGTATAGGAATCTACACCACGTTGGCCCCCAAGATGTAGTTCAACAGTGGACAACTTTCCAACTTGTGCGTTCAGATCCCCAACCACCACAACAGGGCTTGAACTTGTTCTTTGGCGAAGGAGGTCGTTCAGATGGCTGTAGAAGTCGTCTTTGACCGAACCATCGTTGGAGTTTGTGAGTGCATATGCAGCGATGACGAATAGACATCTATTAGTCCCGCGCGACTTCGAAGCTTTGAACGAGCCAGCCAATCGGACCGCACACATCCGGCTACTGATTGGGATCCAAACAACCAGAGCAGCTTCAGCCCGAGGACTCGGGGCAGTGCCAACACTAGCTTGGCCGGTGCTCGAAGCTGCATCGTCACCGGATAGGCGCCTGAGAAAAGACTGCTGGGGTCACCTGAAGGGGATCGTAGATGGAGCACAGAGCTCTAGTCTTGCAGGCGGGTCCACGATAAGCAGCAGATATTGATTGAGAGGGTATCCAATCTTCGGGCAAGTGCTGCCTGTTGACCGATTTGTAGCAGTGTGCGTACATTGAGGCATGTCAATCTGAAGGATGATCGAGGGCTCCAAATGGAAGCCTATGAACTCGGCTTGGCCGCTTGCTTGGACCTGGGCTTGTCGGCAGGGCAGAAATGACGCTCCGCATTTGCAAGCGAGTTGAAACTAGAAGATAAACGCCTAGCAAAGCATGTTGGAGGAGTGCCAAGAATCGGGGGGTTAAAACTTGGGGATAAAAGTGAAGTTGGAACGGGACCACAAGGGAGAGAAAGCGTAAGCTTGTGAATAAGAAGACTGGTAGGCTTGAGCAATAGCATCCAAACCCCTATACACCCTGCCCGATGAAGCAGATAGGACGCGGTTTATTATCATCTGCGATGACTAGAGAATCAGAAAAGTATTTGAAAAAAATTCATTGTATTGCGTGGGCAGGTTCAGGTTGCCCAGGCCTAGACAGGAGAACGATTAGGGTTCTCATCCAAGGCCGTTGGTTGGAAAACCTTGCCGCAAAGTAGCGGATTTGGCGGTGGACTGCAAGGAGTTCGTTTTAAGGAATAAGGAGCCACCATCATTCAACCTCTAACCTGGACGACCAGGAGTCTGAGTTTATCTGGCTTCTAACCCTTGACCAATCTGGTACGAGTGGCTCTGAATGTACAAAAAACACCACCTAACATAGCTCAATGGATCTCTGAGGTATGCAAACCATCGCACCACAGTAAGGTCCAGCCTCATTGCGGTGGACCCAGTCAACTGACACTTAAAAGGATGTTAATGTGATCTGCCTGGATTTCTCGGAAGCTTTCCACCGTCTTGATCATCGGATACTCCTTTCCAAGCTACAGCAATACGGGATCTGTGACCGTTTTCTAAGCTGGATTGCCAACTGTCTAATTCTGCGGCAATTGGTGGACAGAGTTCGGAGCTTCATCTCTGACTCCATACAAGTTGAATAGGATGTGACTCAAGACCCAGTGCTGAATCCCAGATTGTTTTTGGTTTTTATCAATGACCTCACGCAGACGATTAATTCTGACTTCCTGCTGTTTGCCGATGACGTCACGACGCCGCAAAGTTCAGGGGAATACTGACCAACAACTGCTTCAGAATGATTTAGGCACGGTACATCATTGGTCCATCCAAAATTCACTACAATTCAATGCAAGGTGCTCTCCATACGACACCAGAGTAACCACTATTACAGGCTCGGAACGCATGTGCTGCAGCAAGCTGCCACCGAAGGTGATTTGGGCGTACTGGTTCAGCATGATTTTGGTTGTTCCAGGCAATCCGCGAAAGCCTCCAAAACTGGCAACCAACATGTGGGCCTGTTCCGGGGGGGTTCGGACAAATAGATCGCTTTATTTTCCGGCAGATGCCTAGTGTGTATGTTCTTTCTAATGTCGGATATGCACTTTAAGCCTGGCACCCATGGCGAAGACACGACCTTAGTGTATTGGAGCAGCCCCAATGCCGAGCATCAGAGTACCTTACTGAAGTGATATCTTGGAACATATTTGGAACCGACCGGGAAGTCATGATTTCAGAAAACTTGGTAGACGACCGGTTAATATAATTATGTTTATGTATTTATTACCATGTATTTATTACCATAAATACATTAACCTGTCGTCTACCAAGTTTTCTGAAATCATACCTTACTGTAGTGCATCATCTTCTGTACGAGGAGAGGCTGGAATGATTGGAGGTATTCAGCGGACATTACCGCCGCTTATGAGATGTCTTCCTAATGGTGTATTTAATTCTGCACTATCCAGATCATGTGTGCCGCTCTTTACTGCAATTCAGCAGTAATGCCAATTTGAGAGGACACTCACTAAAACTGGCAGTACAGTAAAGCCGTCTGGATTGCCGCAGGAACTTCTTTTCCCACTGCGTATGTCACGCGTGAAGTGCTCTTCCAGAATCGGTAGCTTCTGCACCATCACTAACTATATTTAAAACACCTTTGGATGACTCATTTACCTACACGTTGTTGCGTAGTACTACATCTCCATCCCACTCCTGAAACATACTTTGGATTTATTTACTGTTACATGTTTGTGCTGTGAAACTACACGGATCGCAGGACTACAGCGAAACAAATGATAAGTCGCTCTTTTAAACGTAAATAATCCACGGCTTTTTATTTTTTTGATAACCCCGCAAAACCACTCAACGGGACATGTAAAGCATTCCTTCTTAACCCGTATAACTTTATTGTTCACTGTGAATGCCGTTTCTCAACGTCCCTGCTCTGACCGGGATGCGATGAAGCTGACAAGGGTTTCCCGTTCTATTTTCTACAGTTCAGTGGATCAGTGTACAAGTTAGTTATAACACATTGTGACGCTTGCTTCGCTCAAGACTATTTAGCAAGAGATCCTTTCATACAACTGACCATGAAATTGTACTCACTCTGAAATAGATTATCAAAGCAGCTATCATGACACCCACACTCTGAACCAAATCTCCGATCACGTGAATCAGCGCTGCACGGACCGTAATGTTTTGTTTTTGTGCCTCTCGCTGAGTTTTCTCATGGACTCCGTGCATGCTTCCTTGGGTACTCCGCCCTTCTTCCACAGCATTTTCTGGGTGTTTGTCGGTGTTCATGGCGAATCCCATATGGTTGTGCCCATGCCCGTTCGTATTCGGCTTCTTTGAGTCACCCCCATGATTATGCCCGTGATCATGAAGCGTGCACAGCATGCTGTAGGGAAGGTGAAAGAACAAAGTAAAGTTGACACAATCATGACCACGGGCAGTTGAGTAACCGGTCGCGAAACATAAGCTAGATCTCATGAAGCTTAATCAAGCTAATAGATGTGAGGCGTCACATGTGCTACAATGCCGGTTCGAGCTTGAAACATAACGGGATAAGGAATCGTTTCTGAGAAGTCTGAAGATAATAAGTAGGTGATAGGTTTGGGCTCAAATGACTCGTCAAGCCAAATGAACCAGTGCATGGAAGATCTCAATTGGTTCGCATCGCGTGGCGTTCACTGTGGGGACGTGGTGAAGATAGCGGCGATGGTGGTGGTGGTAGTGTTTTGAATTTTGCTGGATAGTTCGGATACGTCGTTCACTGACACTATGCAATCTGACCGGCTAAGACAATGCACTACTTATTTGACAGCTCCGTCCCGTTTATTCTACCGACGAATTTGTCTGCACTAGTGCCTTCCACTGCCTTGGGTCAAATCAATTCGATAATGCGCTTTGATGCACCTAGAAGGGGCGAATTTCCAGCTGTAAAGCCTAAGCAACCGACAGTACAAAAAAGTAGCCTTGTATTAGCTATTCAACTGCAGTAAAAATATTCAATGACCAACATTACTCCACTGGTAAAATCTACTATGTAGTTATTGCATAACCGCTTTCGGGTCAAACAGAAATGTGGTTAGATAACGAATGACCGACTAGCCGTTAACCTCGTTTGAACATATATTGCTTTGTAATTCCGTTCCTTCGAGGAAGTAGATATATAGTTAGATAATGCACTGTGCAGAGGGTGGCTGATTTGTGTGATTATATTTGGAGCAAGTTTGTGCAGAAATTTTCCTGAGTAGGTACAACGATTTGGGACAAACGACTTTAGAATGTCATTGAAGTGAGACAAGTGCTTCAGTGACCTGTCAGTTAGTCTGATATGTTTACTCGCGGTCTCCTGCCAATTATCTCAGTACTGTCTAATTCAATTGCTTACCTTGTATCTACGGCGCGCTTCGCTAATATCGGATTTCTTGATAATGCTATGCATTCAGACCCGCTGCGTCTCATATGTTTTGTAATCCTGCTGCGTCTTCCTTTCGCGTCTTGTCCTATGTACGCTTCTACACAACTTTTTGAATAATTTTATGGTTGCGATTTTACTTCTTGTCGGTGAGGAGTTTATTTTACAGCACAACCGTGTCGAGCGACGCATTTGAATCTTCGAAACATTATCATAGTTTTCAGATTTTCGGGTTTTGGAACACCCATCGTGCGCCTTGGATTGCGACATGCAATCTCAGTTGTGGCCTCTGTTGGCTTCGAAGTCAGCCTCTGCCAATGTGATCACTGGGAACGTTACAGAAGTGGAGGGTTTCGGTGTTACTCTTTCTCATCCCTGCACTCCACGATACGTTTCGTCCTTTTTGGGACTCATCAGGTAGGGATAGCCTAAGCTGGAAGTGGGCCGGTGGGTGCTCCAAAAGACGAAAATATACTTTCACCGTTGTCTCAAGTGTTGCCCGCGAAGCTCATTGTCCTAGTGTTCATGGCGATGACCGACAATCACTAGGTGTCCAGTTTCACTCCCAGCTCAGTTTATCTCTGCCTGATGAGTCCAAATCAAGACGAAACGAGTCGTGGAGTGCAGAGATGGGAGACAGCAACACCGAACTCCTCCACTATACGTTTTCACTCTGTTTACAGTTTCCACGTGAGTGCCAAGCTTCTTCTGCAAAAAATTCTTATCATCCTTATCCACCCCACACGAATAAACCCACGCAACGGAACAAGCTCGAGGGAAGTGAAGCCATTTATCATAACCATGCAAGCAGTCTGCGTCACCATAGAGACCCACCACAGCTGATCTCAGCCAAAGTACTGACGCACACTTAGTGGCGACCGCAAACCGTTGAACCGGAATCTTCTACTTCAGTACTGCACGTATGGTATGTTGGGCCACTTCATTTTCCATAACAAACAACATGATCGCTAGACAGTATTGAGTGGATTACTGGTATTTTGGCAATATTCGTCGCGGCTAGATTCAGTTAGATTGCTAGGGAATCGTTTCGTCTTATTTATACCCATCAGTAGCGCTCATCCGCCGGATCTTGCCAGAGCTTAACCCATGACCTTAATATTACGATTTAGTGGCTTATGCGACTAAGCCACAGATGACGGCGGCGGATGATCATGATTGATTTCTGACTGCGATATAGGGTGGCTCATCCTTCACTGCCATGTATGTTATGAGCGCGTAGAGGCCAGGACTGGCTCCCAGAGCTACGACTACATTTGCAAAGCGCCATCAACCTTCTACTAAACACAATAAATCCCCTTATACCCTCTACTAAACATTAATCGCATTAGTAGCTTACATGCCGCCTCGATTGGTGGCGGTCTGCAAAGGTAGTCAAGCGTCTGACAGCTGCGTTTGTGCGTGCATCTCTAGCCAGCGGTCCAGTGTATGCAAATGGCTCTGAAACAGTAGTTACAGCATATTTTCCAATTTCATCCACAGTCAAAACGCAGTGGCTCAAACTCACACAAGCCGTCATGCGTTTTAATCACGTACGTGCTCCATGGCCACTGCGTCAGTACATGACCTTTGTGTTGGCACAATGAAGTAGCTATTATATCGATTGATGGACACCTTTTCATTCTACACATGTGCTAGTCACGACAGTCAGTTTGACTGACGATGCTAGGGATGCTGCTATGACCTTGAAATGTGGATCTGCAAATAAATGCACGCACGTCACAAAGTCAATGTCGAGGCAACTCACACGATATTGACGCCTACGCCGATGGTTGAGGTGATCAGCATAATTTTTCCATCGATATCATAATGACCGCTCATGATTCGCACGACAGCTAAGTATACCAAGATGCCCGTGACGAGCCAAATCATTAATACGGAAGCCAGAGCACCAACGACTTCTGCAATGGAAGCATAAACAACAAGTTAAGGTTATCAGCGAGAGAAATCGCGTATTAATAATACTTAGTCCTAGACTACACTCGCGGGGATATGATAGAAATCAAAGGAAATTCTCGCACCAGATATCACGGTAGGTCTAAGTAAATTAACAATATAATTGGAGAACAATAGGCTGCTTCTAGTTTGGATTACAAACTGATCAGTTTTGAGGCCAAGTCAACCAAATAGTTGAAGATTACAGCCCAACCGTTTGGACACTACCTTAATGCAAATCCTTCCATCCTGCTGACGAGTAATATTTTTAAACAAATTCTAGTGTCTACTATAGCACCTACTTACTCGGACCCACCCGCTTCTAATCAGGTTGAAATTAACCGCTTATTCTGCCGACATTAATCTCATGGGGTCAGATCACTCCAGATCAGGCTTTCGCTCACCAAGCGTTCTGTTTCCTACACCATCAAGCAAACTAGACTCCTTGCACATCGATGTCTGTTTGAACGTTCTTGATACTGCAAACAGGGAGATAGAACAGAAAAATCACTGGAACTCTAGAGACAATGTGCAAGGTACCGCCTCGACTGTGGCCAGCTAATTGCAACTTCCACTGTGTTTACAGCAGCTTCCAGGGCCGAGGCAACAAAGTTCTATCAAGGTCCTTTTGAAAGCTTCAACAGCATCACTTTCCGCTACAGTTCATTGCAACAACGTGCCACATGATCTGTTAGAAATCTCGATCTGATGCTCTATACCATAACACGCGCAGCCTGGGCTGATAAAAGCAACACGGCAGTAGTTAGCTTATGATTGTGAAATTTGTTCGACTCGTTGAGACAGACTAGAAGAATCAACAATGAAGCAGAGCCATTTATTTGCGTGGAGAGACAAGGTATGATTGCACCACAGCTTACTATTGACACGTATAACAGGCTCAGGATATTTCCTGTCGCATATCCCATTTATTGAAAACTTCCTTTTCTATAAGTATATGGTGCATTGATTTGCCTCAAGTTTCCTGCAACGGACCTGAACTTTCAAGCTATTGGACAAAATCACTGCTCTACAATGTTTCACAATATTTTGGCATGCGTCCACAAATGCGTGGTTATTTGTACAGAGGGAATTCTAGAAGATAACATGCTGCTTAGGTGACCGCTACTTCTTATGGTTTTCCATGTATAAACCGTTGAAAAGATAAGGTTTCTATTATTTATTATGTTTTATTCACTAAAATTCCGAGCATAGTGTTTAAAATGACTACACAGTACCCTAAGCGCACATGTGATTTTAAATCGGCAGTAGGATATCTCAGTTGTGTGATAGCACCTTCAAAAACGTTGCAGACCACTTTAGGCCACACAGTTTCTCACCAGCACGGTACCATCCGAAACTCATTCGCTTGGTCGATGGTCGAGAGGCAAGGAACAATGCGAGCAGGCTGATGAGGAAACTGGCAAAGTCCGTCAGCAAATGAGCCGCGTCCGTCATGATTGCGAGACTCTTGGCTAGCGCCCCACCTATTTGGTGAAAAGATATGACATTTATCATCAGTTCTCTTTTAACAAAAGAGTGATTTGGACCTAGGTTTAATCTAACACAGATGTCGTCGACTGAGTGCGTTCATGTATCAGCTCATTTTCAGTCAACAGCCTCACTAAAGAAGACCGTTACGACCAAACGTAGAGCATTTCTGCGGTGAAATATGCAGGCTTTCTATACATATTTGTTGAGAAAACAAACTTCCATTGTAAACTATTCTGCATGGAACTGAAGTAACGCAGTTTTGCGTCCTGTGCATCACAATCCTCGTAAAGATGGTGTTTTTAACCGCCGCTATCTTCAAAGTGAATTGTCATGCATATTCAATGGCTTACCACCCCAATTCAGAAACACAGCTATATTGTGAGATGTACTGCTTCGATATCTGTCGGCTTCAAGTTACCGGTAATTTCGAAAACGAATAAGGGCTATAAGGGCTATAATTATACTAGACAAATTAAACATGCCGAAGCGATGAAATTGAATCGGATACTTTGAAAGCGATGTATCGTGGATATTCAAGTGAAAGAAGTCAGTGTGCTACATCAAAAGAGCTTACTTCTGTTTGCTTTTACCTATGATACCACAAGATGAAGTGGATGCTTAACTGGGGCTCAATCTATGAGCTGTCAGTGCGTGTCCGAGCATCCACCACACCTCTTGAAAAATTCCACTGTGTTAATGCGATTACATCATGGAGGCCGTAATCCTATCATGTTCAACCACCCGTTAACGGGTGTAACAATCCAGCTAGTTGCTTCGGTAAATCTTTTATACCATTGTTAGTTTACTTTTCCTGGTCTGTTGTTAAATCCACTCTGTTTTAGTTATTAATCACCATCCAGTCACTCTGTGTTTGGTCTACGATGAATCATCGTGAGAGGCTTGCTTGATTTATGCAATTCACACGGCACATATAAACAAGTCTATAAAACTTGAGAGAAAATGTTCTACAACTTCCGTGCAACAATAGACAGTATTGGGGCCTAGAGGGAGAAAAGTTCAATAATGTTAAGCCCCAAACAGTACTGCATCGTAGTCCCAGCTGCAAACCAGGTGACCAATTTGAACAATGAACAACGAATTTTAAGGGGTTAAGAAACATTGTTTTACAAGTCCCGTAGGGTGGTTTTGTAGCGTTATGCAAAAAAAACAGTTAGTGCTTTATTTCTGCAAAGAAAGACTTGTCGTTTGTTATGCTGTAGTCCTACAATCCAAGTAGCTTCACAGCACCGACAGGTAACAGTAAATAAATCCAAAATATATGCCAGTAGTAGGGTGGAGATTTAGTATTTAGTACTAAAGTGTAAGCGGATGAGTGCGTCATCAAACTGTTTTTACATCTGAAGAAAACACTAAGACGAGCACTGCAAGATGGCACCATTTAGTGTTGTCTAATCACTTGCAGAATAACAAGATATATAGATCACGTAAGGGAAGGAAGTGTCGCTGCAGAAACGACTGGTTTGGGTAGAGCATCCCACGAGTGACATAAGCGAATAGAAAAGAAATGCCTTCAGTACTGCAGACGACTATACTGTCTCGTAAGTCTCAACGAGTGACCTCTCAGCTTTGTACTACTGCTGAGTTGCAGTCATAATATACTGAAAGATACAGTCCCCTGAGGGTCGTCTGTTTGGATTCTTATTCAGCATTGACGGACTACATCTCGATCACTAGCTGGCGTCTCCTGTTACTGTGGGTGATCAGTCTGAATATCGGTAAAGGGACGACACACCAAAATTACAGGAAACAGAAGCATGCACTCAGCTGTTACAGACGGTTCTTGTAAAAGGTATCAATGGATAAACTTTCGTGACATGCAATATAGCTACTTTTCCCTACAACCTGAATAGGAATATTGTGCTGATCCACAGTGACGCCTCTTTTCATGGAATAGAACCTTGCTTTGCTCATGAAGTTTAATGGGTAGCACCATAATACGCTTTAGTTGACAGGTGCAATACTACCCACCCTAAAGTGGCGTTACGGGTGAGTGGGTAAACCTCGAGACCTGCATTGGGTTGCGGCATGTTGGATGACCCCGCATCTAGTGGTAACAAGATCCGAAGCGTTTGTGGCGCATTTCCACTTAAGACGTTAACTATACTTGTAACGTAATCGTTTCAGTGCAATCTGCCACTTAGTGCCTCCGCGAACAAAGAAAATATTAACAGGTTAAAGTATGAGGCCCCACTCCGGCAGCGGCAACTTACGGCCTGGATGCATAGGATCTCCAAGAAGCATGTTAAACTCAGTAGGATCTGAACACTGCCATGCTCGTCTCAACGTGCTGGCTTTTTTCTGATACATCGACTACTACACATTCTGCACAATGGTTCAATCTGTCTCTGGTTCGCCGAATGTTGGTCCACCAGTTGTTGGCCAGATAAATAGACTTACCTGCGGCATGTAAAAAGCATTTTTCTATAACCGAAATTCCCTTGCTTCCGGTCGTATCTTCACTGCTAGGTAAAAGTCGAAACTGAATTCAATTATAGTCAGAACCCTCTGGTTAGCAAGAATTATCACAAGTACTTTTGTCTTAGTGCGTTACCTACACAGGTTCGAGAGCGTTGCGACTGCGAATATGACGTTATCAACCTGTCCACTGATCCGAAAGATGTCCTTTCTAACTAGGCTGACCAAGTAGACCAATCGAAGTACTGCTTGACTTCGATTTAAAAAAACTACACTCAGGTCTGACACAAAGACAAACGTAGCGTATTCTTTGTTGGGCTTTAGGGTGTCCGCCATGTGCCTAGGTTGTGAGATTCAATCTCAAGTGGGACGATGATATACATCAGATCTAGATTGCTCCACTCACTGGGACCGCATCCGAAGTGGGGAGTTTCGATGTTTCTCGCTCTCAAAACTAAACTCCACATCTTGTCTACTCCTCGTTTGGAACCTTCAGATATAGACAGGAATCGAGTGTGGAATCTTGTACTCCTTGCCCACCAAGTCATTGAGCTCGACGAGCAACAACTGCCACATCGGTTAGAGGTTCATTACTAGCATCCATCGTATCTACTCCCTGGTACAATTATAGTAACCTTGTGGTGGACCAAAAACAAGTACGGCTACACCAAGTGTCAGTAGCACAGAAGTATTAAGAAATTCTGAGGTTAACCGGCCAGCAGCGGACCATACCAACGCCAGCAGAAGATCACTTTGGAGCCGCATATATATATGCACTAGGAATAGTTACAGGAGAATCAAGCTCTTCAGCGTTAGCCTACTGGGCATATATTCTGTACCAATCCATAATTGCCTGCTTTCATTTCGATACCGTGTTTATTGCCACTTGTTTATAGGCTCCACTTCATGAATACGACCGGCAAAAGCACGTCCTTAGTAATGGATACTCACTTTACGTGTCAGTCTCAGCAGCAGCATTTCCAAGAACTTAGTTGATTGGTTCTATTCCCATAAATATTTATTTAGTTATTTTAAGGGAATGTTTATTTGGCATAATTTTGTAGCAGTGCTTAACTTCAGGATTAGTATTTCTTCCTACCGTCTGTTTCATGACCCTTGTTTGAACACACCATTTCGTTATTTTGATTGTCCAGCACCCGTCATTGTAATTGGATAATCATTTTACGGTTTGGGCCCTATAATACCATTTCCAAGGACATATCTGATTCCTTCCTCACTCTATGACTGCTCGTTCGCTTGTGACATTTAACCTTTTCCCTCTGTTTGGTTAGATCGAATGTCTTTTAGTAGTTTCCATCCAATACCTTTTCAGAGCTATATAAACCCGTGAGATATAAATCATACAAGTCTTCTCCGGCTCATCTTTGGAGTTCTTCTTGTGGTCGTGGGGCGGGAACAGTCGGTGGCGACCCCACAATTTCTGACTACGGGTATGTGATCCGAACCCACGCGGGGAAACTCCAATGGATTAGTCTCCAGAAGAGGTTTCGTAGATGAAGGAAACAGTTAGTGAACTGAGCTGATGCATATGATTGATGAGATTTGACACAATAAATAATTCCGTTTGCATCTCGGGTTTTTGCAATCTGATGTCCAAACAAAAACCAACCGGTCGTGGAGCGCAATGTTTGGAGCGATCAAAACTACTACTTTCCACCAATGCAAGATCTTTAACCTCTTCGTGCTGTAGTCCGCCGAGCTGGAAAGTGCCTGATACCAGCGCAGTGGTAGCCGAATCTGGGAGATATTTGCGCATACTATTGCGCAGGCAGAGTAGTTCCTGCTCCGCCTCCCTACCTAATATCTCTTGACATTGCATCAGAGTGAATGCGTGCAAGCACAATGTTACTTGGTCACGAGTCACGCAGTGTACATTCGAATGTAACGAACCTAGACAACACGGGTTCATCAACGCGGTAAAAGCGCTAGGATTAACTGACAGCAAATAAACCTGTCGTGCGCAACTTAAATGTTTACGATGAAAATCGAGCAGGGGTTGTTGCGGGCAAGGACAGAACGAACGTGGCTACTGCGATACAAACCCCTTGAGCCTGTGACCCCCTCAATAGTACCACTCGTTATTTTTTAACAATACTCATCGGTCAGTGGAATGCATCTGTCATGCAACCATGTTCCGCCACGTGTAGTCCGAATAGATAGGTTCATAATCAGTTTGTGCGCCACTGGTTGAAAAAATACGTAGCTGTTTCTAGCTTGCAAAAAATTGATGTTAACGGCGTTTGTAGGCCCGTCAGCTTCGCTTCTTTGAGCGGCGTCATTCGTGAACAGGAACGCATTAAAACAGCCTGAGCATTGAAGCAAACACGTTACCATTGTTAGGCCTTTATAGGAAGTCCGAACAAGGAATGAAGTGGGGCAATGTATTATGGTGAGCGAAAAAGCGCCTGTACACAAGTCCAGTAGCTCGTTCAGAGCGAACCTTAAGAGCAAGACTATACGCTCAAACAAAATTAAATGCACATCATTGAGGCGGTAGTATGGGAGCATTGGTATGAAGATTAGATAGTATTCCGCA